GCGGCTTTGAGAGTTACGGGAGTAGGAGAAAAAACTAGGTTTTACTGTCACAACTTCACCTCAAATACCGCAAGAATAAAATCAAGCGGCCAAAATTTGCGATTAAGATTCACTGGGCGGTTCGCATCCGGTTTCCGGTTCGCCGGTTTCACGGTCCGACCGCCGGTCGGACTGGTTCAAAGCCGGTTCTTTGCTTACCCGGTTTTAGTGTAAAAACGAACCGGCCGGCCGACCGGGTACCGGTTCAACCGGTTGAACCGGCCGGTCCGGTCCGGTTTTTAAAACGTTGGATACGAATCTTGCCAACTATTAGAATTTATTTTGAATTAGTGTTAAAATTTTCTATACACAGCTATAATGCCCTAAAATGAAATTAATTTCAATATGGAAAAAAATGATATAATCCCAAAAAATTATTTAATTTGTTAGTTCAAACATTGAGATAGAAATGGAGATAGAGCATGCAAGAGAGAAGATAACTTAATTTTGTTTTAGAATGATTTCATCTATACGTATCTTATCTTCATAGGTGATACCACTCTGTCATCTCTGGACATGTACATACATATATATGCCTTTTTGAAATGATATTCTTCCAAATGAATGATCAAAAGCTTCATCTGGATCGGGCTTGAGTCAGTCACTGTAAATATATTCAAAACTTTAAGAGTGCCTAGAATATTTTTCAAATTGGTCACTAACTTGAATGAGAGAGAGAGAGAGAGAGAGGATTAATTAATGTGACTATATTTTTTATTGGAAGGGTTGACATTGATCAGATCATGTCTCATGAATTTATGGGGTTAATAAAACCATACTTTTAGCAACTACACAATTACAAATGTATTGGCAATTAATGGAAGCTAATAAATATGCTATAACATTACTAAAAGTAGTAGTAAAGTAGCTAAAATCACATGAAACGAGTTGCAGAGTTTACGATTATGGATCTTCTTCTAATTCATCTTCTGAAACCTCCCTTCGATAACAACGATTGCACTGTTAAACAATAATTCAGTTTATATGTATTGTTAATGTTAAATAGTGGCAATATTATTAGCAAAAAAAGTACCTCGCAACCTTTTTGGGATAGAGAAGACATAGCCGTAGATAGGAAAATACATATCATAATATATGCAGGAAATGTTCTTTCTTCTTTGTTTCTCTTCAATTCAGAAGCTGAGTACAACCATAAATAGATTGTTAGAGACTACACAATTACAAATGCTATGGAAGCTGCTGGAAGCTAATAATTATGCTATAACATTATTAAAAGCAATAGTAAAGTAGATAAAATTACATGAAACGAGTTGGAGAGTTTTCGATTATGGATCTTCTTCTAATTCCTCTTGTGAATCCTCCCGCCGATGCCAACGATTGCTCTGTTAAACAAGATCCATTATATATGTATTGTCAATGTTAAGTAGTGGCAATGTTAGAAAAATAGTACCTCGTAATCTCTTTTGGATAGAGAAGACAACCATTGCATCCTTAGCCATAGATAGGAGAATACATATAATGATATATGCAAGAAATGTTCTTTCTTCTTTGTTTCTCTTCAAAGCCATTGCATCTTTTTCAGAAGCTGAGTACAACTATGAATGGATTATTACTTAAAAAGAAAATTTAATTTGTATCAAAATACTAAAAATGCAGAGAAGGTGCGAACTTCAGCATATCTAGTTGTTTGAAGACGATCATCCAAACACTAAAGGCTGCTATCAAAATCCTTCAAATCATTAGCTTGAATCAATATTAGAATTTGTTATCCACAGTTAATATAAACAAAAAGTAGCAATGTTAAAATTATTACACTATCTATCAAATTATGTAAGGGATCATAAAATAATTTGGTTAATTGAAGTTTTTAAATTATATTTTGATTAGTAATAATATTATAAATCTAATTGATTTTATGGTTATAAGGATGATTATATTATTTTAAAGCATAAAATAATCGGAAATACTTTAAAATTATTATAGAAATAAAATTTTAAATGAACTATTTTATGAAGGCCTATTATTATGGGAAGGTTGCTTATCATAGAAAGGACAAAATGAAAGTGCCACCAATCGCAAGAAATATCATTTTTTAATTTCAACAAGTGGTAACAGAGATTATTTAGAAATTCTATTAGAATTAGTGTAAAATTTATTATATAATGCTATAATGCCCTAAAGTAAAACTAATTTAAATAGGTAAAAAATTGATATAATCCCCAAAAGTTATTTAATTTGTTAGCTCAATAATTAAGATAGAGATGGAGAAAGAGATAGAAAAAATATTTAAATTTTATTTTGGAATGATTTCATCTACGTACCTTATCTTTATATACATGTGTTATGCCTTTTTGAAATGAAACTCTTTCAAATGAATGATCAAAATCTTCATCTGGATCAGGCATGAGTCGGTCACTGTAAATAAATTCAAAACCTTAAGAGTGCCTATAATATTATTCAAATCGTTCACTAACATGAGATAGAGAGAGTGGTTTAATTAATGTGACTAAATCTTGTATTTGAAAGGTTTCATTAGTGTACCTTTTCTTCATAAGTGATAGCATGCCATTGGTCCCACCTCCACCCCCCACCACCTCCATTTATGGAAATTGATTATTATGCTAGGCGTGGCAGCGGATGGTTCCTCGTCACAAAAAAAAGAGAAATTGATTATTAGAAATATTTAAAAAAATTTCATTTTATTAAATTAAATAATATCAAACTAAAATATTAAAAGAAAGTTTAATCATTTAAATAATAAGATATATTAGTAATCACTTGTAATATTCCATAAATTATAATAAAAATATAAAAAAAAAAACAAAGTTTTGATCACTTATGCATAAATGGCGTAATGGTTGGTGGGCATGCGGAAATTTCGCAAGCAAATGCAGGGTGGCAGAGTTCGAACCCAGCCTTGTGCAAAGGCTTGGTGGGCCAAAGCACAAATCGATGCGGGCTTGCGGACAACACAAGTGAAGCGGGTCGGTGCGGACTGGGCTGGGCTAGCGGGCAACTCAACTCACGTTGCGGGAGTGCAAGCGGGGCATAGCATGTGAGTTTAGGCTTGGGCTTGCGAGCATGTCGTCGGGCTGGGACGACAAGTCTTGAAATTTTCTTTTTAATTGTTCCAGCAGCTTTTCTGCCGGCACGCGGTCGGACAAATTTTTGGTGGAAATAATCCGCTGGAAAATCCTGCATTTTTTTTCTCCGAAAATTTTTTCCGACGCGTGTTTTATCGACAAAAATTTTTTTTGTCGAAAATCTTCCGGGAGCTTTCAAAATTCTCCGAAAAATCTGTCAGTAATACATGATTTTTCTGCAGTGCTCCTACCCTTAACCCCACCCCCCTACCACTATCCCTAACTCTATCTTACCTCTACCCCCTACACATATACAACTGTCTACCCTACTCCTAACACCTACACCTACCACAATCATGCACCTACACGTACCTCTATAGCTACGTACCCCTTTCACCTATACCTACTTCCACCCTCCACCCCTCGATCCCCCTATACGTAGCCTAACCTCCCTACACCAACACTTATCTCAACCCCCTTTACACCTACACCTACCATTACTCCCTACACCTACACCTATTCTTATCCCTCTACGTACACCTACTCACCTACATCTAGTTCTACCCCCCTACCCATATCTACATCTAGTTATTCTCTATATATAATAATGAAAAAAATAAATACTGCAGACGGTCATTGTTACATTTCTGTTCAAACTTAGATAAGTTGGCATCAAATACTTCCATTCTTCTCCAATTGGTGAATGCATTTCGAGATCACAAAATATTGAAATTATAAATTAAAACTTAATCTACAATATGAAATAATTAAATAAAAATTAAATCAAATCAGAGTTTAAAATAAAAACAATATTTTGAAAAAAAAAAATTACAAAATTGGACACTGCTCATAATAATAGAGTATATTTGTTCTTTGAAATTTATTACAGTATAACTTTATGTTAACTATTATGAAAATTTTAATCAAATAAGCTTCTTATAGTATAGTAAAACAGCAAATTAAATTAAATATAATGTCATAATTGTTGCGTCCTTGAGTATTCAAGGCGGTAGAGAAAAATAAAGTTTAACGTCTTAGCTTTGTACGAAGATCCGGCATGCATACAAATAAAAAGAGAGGGTGAAGTATTCACAAGAGACACCAAGATTTTTACGTGAAAATCATTGAAAGGGGGAAAACCATAGGGCCTAGCCCAGTTTGAATGAATCCACTATTATTTGTAGACGATTACAATTAAGGTTCTTCCTTAGGGGGAAGACCTTGGCTTGATGTACATCATATGAAGTACATTACATGATGGGAATACAAAGAGTCATTGTTGACATATTCGCTTGGCCGGAAGGGCCATAGTTAGCGGGCGACGGAGATTGAAATGTCTGTAGTCGGTGGGCGACGTAGGTCAGAAGGACCTTAGTCAGTGGGCGACGGAGGTTATAAAGACCGTTGTGTGGCGACGGAGGTCGGAAGGACTGTAGTCGGTGGGAGACGTAGTCGGAAGGACCGTAGTCGACGGGCAACGAAGGTCATAAAGATTGTTGTCTGACGATGGATGGTAGAAGTTCAACAATAGACATAAGTCCAATGTTAGATAGAAGTGAGAGTGCAGACCATGGGGTTAGCTCGAGTGCAGGCCGCGGAGGTGAGGCAGGAAAGCATGGGTGCAAGGCTGCGAGCGTAAGTGTGAAGCTGCGAGCGCAGGTGTGAGACTGCGAGTGAGAGCATTAGCTAGGCAAGCGTGTGCGGGACCGCTAGTACGGGACTACGAGCGTGGGGGCAAGGGAAGGGAAAGTGAGACACAGTGGTGAGCGTAGGGCGAGGTTTCGATGTGGTGCGGGATGGGGACCTAGTTCAGTTTTGGGTTGTTTTTGGGTTTTTGGGTTGAGCCAAACCTGGCCCGAATTTGATAACCAATATGATAAAAGTTAACTTTATAATAAATCATGATCTATATGAAGTACATTTAGCATCTTCTCCGTCTTCATTTCTACTCTTCTGGAGCTTTCTCCTCGTTCCTTCAACCTCATGGATCTAAGGAACCCTTGTTGTGACCTCACCAATTCATCTGAGCTACCCAACTGTATAAGAAAATATGTATAAGCTGTCCTATTCATTCAATACATATTGCAAAAATACTCAACATGAAAAAAAAAATGGACAATACAAGGAGCATCGATAAAAGAAGAGAGATGTGACCTCTTTTAAAAAAAACACTAGAATCAGTAAATTATTACAAGAAAAAAAACTAGTTGGCCGTAGATAAGTCTTTACTAAAAAGGAATGAAGAACTTAAAAGGAAAGATTATTCAAAGAATTTGAAGTCAATGAATTACGAAGCTATATTTTTATTAGATTTAAAAGAGAATTTGACTCTTGATATGACACAATAGAGAAAAATGATTTATATAGCCGACCCCATATAGTAGGATAAAAGCTTGGTTTTGTTTTTGTAGTATTTCATTTGCATTGAGGTTGCATGCTATGGGTATAAAATCTTTATATTACAAAAAATTTCATAAAGAGTTTGTTGAAAGAATAAATGTAAGTTGAGATGCAAGTCCGTTGTTTGCCCAATGACCAATCATAAATTTCGAGTTGCTTTAGAAGATACAACCACTGATAAAAACTTCCTATCAATGGAGAAATTAAAACGTGTGGAGTCCGGATACACTAGACTCCAATAAAAATGCGACATGTGTCCCTATACATAGGGTGTACAACTATACACACTATTCATAAATTACACAATTATGTACACAGTGTGTACAAACTTATATACATAATATACATACTATGTACAAAGACACATGACACGCTTTTATTGGAGTCCGGACGTAACTCTACATCTGGACTCTGCACGTAATAATTTCTACTACAATAACCCGTGGAAAAATTTGTCCTACTTATCACATGCTAGACTTGATACTACCTTTGTTGTTAGTATTGTGTTAATTTATTAGCAATCCTAAAGAATCGTTTTCTTAGGGCAATAAATAAAGTTCTATAGTATTTGAAGGGAATCATGGGCGAAGGAATTTTATTAAAACAGGCAAGTATTTGTCTCTTAAAGTATAGAAATATGTAGATTGTGTGGGTTCTGTGCATCTGTATTGCATTGCTAAGGCCCTCTTTATTGCGTTGGCTGAAACTGTTATTGTTGATACTAATATTTCACGTGCTGTCACAGAAGGGATCAGATCTTAACTTAAGCAAAGTGATGAGCAAGCAAGTTGCACAAGTCTTCTAGCTTCGTCTTTTTTCCCACACGTCCTTGTTATTTCTGAATACAACTTCTATAAACATAAAAAAAGCAGAATAAATTGTTAAGTTCTCCATGACCAGTCGACCCCGAAGCCCCCTTGTTGAAATCTTCGATCGGAAGAGTCGAAGAGTCGGGTCGAGCGCCACTTCCATCAGCAGTTCGAATCATACGGCCAATCCCTTGCCTGCAACATCATTTCCAATGACTGGCGTCCGCCTCCATAGTGTCAGAGTTGGTTTTAGATCACACGTTTGCATACGGGTTTGTGGGTCATGTCAGGTCAACCTAGTGACCAGCACTGGTCAGGTCCGGGTTAGAATTCATGACCTGTTTGCATAATCGGGTTAGGTTAGGGTCAACCTGTTTTGACTCGGGTCAATTCGGGTTGGACCGGAATCTATCCTGTTTAACCATTTTGACACCTCATAAGAACCATTATATCATTATTTGGTTTATCAAGGTGTATGGGGAGAGCTATAGTAGTGGATTGAGCTGGCTAAATTTATAACCAAAAGGTTACAATATTCAATTAAATCCACTTATTGTAACGTATGAAGGCCTGAAAATTGACTTCAGGAATGTATACAGGAGAGTAGAGATGGGATGATAAGATTGACCTATATGATGAATGTGAAAGATTGCTTGATCAAAAGAGAAATGGCAAATTAAAATTAAAAGTAAAATTGATCATTTATGTTTTAGCTCCTATGAGTTTTACTGGTAAAATGGTTATGAAATTGTATTTTCCCACCACTGCCAGTCAAAGCAGTTCAGTGGACTTGGGTATGTTATGATTTATTAGCATTAAATCAGGCCCCTAATATTAGTTTTTAGTATTTTCTATAATCTTCTAGGGGAATTGGTAAGTATAAACACACATTGAGCCAGCTCAAGCTTAAATTAATTATTATATTCTCATGTATGTGAGGTGGCACCGTGTAATTGATTGATTGTAAACGGTCCACTCTCTCCTTCTCTATTTTAGCAATATGTCTGTAACATAGAGTATCAAGAAATACAACTCTACTCATTTTCCTTTATCTGTCTTAATCTCCTTTCTCTGTTCTTCTTGTTTCTGCCAAGAACCGCTGATTTTCACATGGTAACAAGAGCGGGTTAAAGCAAGACGATCTTGCGGTGCATTTTTTCCTCGATGTCCACTTCCTCCAACACATCTCGTACTTGCGAACATACCGATCCGATCATCGCCGAAGCTCCGTCCATCCCATCGAATATGAAATTTGTTGTATCCAATCTCAAGCACATCGTTCCAACTCAACTCTCCACTGATAACTATGCTCTATGGAGATCCCAAATCCTCATGATCCTCCGAGCAAATGGGTTTGAGCAGTTTCTCGACTCCAATCTTCCTTCTCCGCCCCGTTTCTGGACTCAATTTGATGGTTCTCAAAACACCAACCACATCTATGCGCAATGGCTGTTAACAGACCAAAATCTTTCTGTAGCAATTTGCTCCACCATCTCACCAATGGTTCTTCCTTACATTATCAACTTGGACTGCACATCATTCCATTTGTTCTACACTTGAAACATGTTTTCAATCCGCAAACCATTCTAAAGTTATACAACTAAAGAACGAACTTCACAATGTAAGTTCTCAAAACGTCTACCATGACATAATACTTAACCAAAATCAAGTTCATAGTAGATAAGATTTCGGATGCTGGCTGCATAGTGGACATTGAAGATATCATTCTTTGCACTCTTAACAGCCTTCCTAGCACCTATCAATCTTTCAAAATCGCGATTCGAACAATGCAAAATCCTATCACTCTTGAAAATCTTTATTCCTTACTTATCAGTGAAGAGATTCATATCACCTCCGACAATGCTCGTCTTCCGACTCCTAGCAACTCAAACACTGCTCTATTCACATACCACAGTCGTGGATGTCGCAACAGGGGAAGATCTTCTCAATCTTTCCAATATAGCAATCGTTCCAATGCTCCACCCATTATCTTCCATATTTGTAATAAGAAGGGACACTCAGCCTCCATTTGCTGGAATAGGCTTAATACTCAATATGTTCCTCAACCTGTTCAACATCGCCCCACGCTATGGTTGCTAGCTTTGACAACTCCAGCTCCAACTGGTTTCTTGACTTGAGCGCATCTTCACACCTAACTAACTCTCTTGAAAATCTTTCCATTGCTACCCCCTACACAGGCTCTGACAGCATCACCATCGGCGACAGCCGATCTGTTAACATAGCTAATTCGGGGACTTGTTTGCTTCCTATACCTTCTCGTATGGTTAATCCATCTCAGATTCTTCGTTCTCCCTATTTAAATTACAATCTACTTTCCATTTCTAAATTAACTCAAGATAATAATATCTCTATTATCTTTGACTCTTCTGGCTTTACACTTAAGGATTCGAAGACTCAACAAATCCTGCTTCACCGCGCCTGTAAGAATGGTCTTTACCCTGTCAACATCTGCCTATCTCCCTAAAAAACTCAGGCGTTCTCAGCTTCACGTACTTCGGCTCATGCTTGGCATACTCGATTGGGACTCCCACACAAAAGAATGCTTCATTTACTTAGCTTCCAGATATCCTCAGCTTCATATTACTTCAAATACCTATAGTTGTCACTATTGTAATAAATTGTAAAGACATAAAATGCCCTTTGATAATTCTGTACTTCGGAAACATTCTATTCTCGAATTAATTCACTCTGATGTTTGGGGCCCGATTCCTATTGTGTCCTGTACTGGTTTCTTATATTATGTCATTTTTGTTGATGAATTCTCTCGATTTACATGAATTTTTCCTTTACGAAATAAGTCTGAAGTTACTTCGACTTTCATTCAATTTAAAACTCAAATTGAGAACTACACGGGAACAAAAATTAAATCTATTCATATTGACGGTGGCACCGAGTATTTAAATTCCTCGCTCTGTAGCAAATCTCATCAAATATTTTGCTCATACACACCGGAACAAAATGGCGCCACTGAGCGAAAACACCGCCATATTATAGAAACCACTAGATCTCTGCTAGATATTGCCTCGGTTCCTTATAAATATTGGCCAGATGCAGTCCTAACATCCATTTATCTTATTAACAGGCTCCCGTCATCCTCTACTAATCACATCTCTCCCATTGAGATTCTTCATCAACAACAACCTAACTACACTCAATTAAGAACCTTTGGATGTCAATGCTTTCCTCCTCCTCCCTCGCATACCCACCACAAATTCCAACCAAAGGCTACATCGTGTGTGTTCCTCAGATATTCGGATGTGCACAAAGGAAACAAATGTTTGAACCTGGAATCCCACAAAATTACCATGTCACATCACGTTAGCTTTGATGAAATTTCTTTTCGTTTGCCCAAATTCCTGCTTCTTCAGCTAAGCAGCAGACTATACACTCCAATCCATTTCTTCTAACTCCTACCACTATTCTGATACCTTGAAAATCATCCAGAGAAACCTCCGTCTCCAATGCTATCACTAATCATGTTCCTACTCGGTCTAATGCACTTCCATCCGAACCCACTATTGCTTCCACTATCTCTCATCCTACTCAACCTCTATATGTTCCTGCTCACTCGATGGTTACTAGAAGCAGAATCGAATCCCTCAAACCTTGTATTCAGCTAGATTCTATACACAGTCAAGAATCTTCCAATCCCTTGCCTGATCCCACTACCTATATGGAAGTCGTCAAACATTTTGAATGGCGTCAAGCTATGGCGTCCGAATTCTTCGCCTTGTGACAACAAGGAACTTGGAGTCTTGTTCCTCCACCTTCTAACTCCACTGTGCTCGGATGTAAATGGACATATC